ACGTCATCAGTGACGTAGTAACGACGACGTCATCAGTGACGTAGTAACGACGACGTCATCAGTGGCGTAGTAACGACGACGTCATCAGTGGCGTAGTAACGACGACGTCATCAGTGGCGTAGTAACGACGACGTCGTCAGTGACGTAGTAACGACGACGTCGTCAATGACGTAGTAACGACGACGTCATCAGTGACGTGGTAACGACGATGTCGTCAGTGACGTAGTAACGACGACGTCATCAGTGGCGTAGTAACGACGACGTCATCAGTGACGTAGTAACAATGACGTCATCAGTGACGTAGTAACGACGACGTCGTCAATGACGTAGTAACGACGATGTCATCAGTGACGTAGTAACGATGACGTCATCAGCTCAGGGGTGCAGCAGTCGGTCAGGAGGGACCTCGACATCTGATTGGTCTCGCACGGCCGCACCGAGGCGATTGTGTTCATCGCGGCCCCTCTTGCCTCTCATCACGTCGTGACACAAAGCGACTCTCACGCCGCCGTTGAAAACAAACCTCACGCCGCGGTTGTCAGGGGGGCCCCAGCTCGTCGCCTTGGCCACCAGGGGGGGCCAAGGCGCCCTCTGCTTGCCCCGCGCCCGTGACTCCTGCCGGGACCCCAAGGGCGGCTCACCGGGGGGGGTCTCTGCAGCCACGCGCCGTGCCCCACGCCCCACGTGGGCTCCACTCACGACACCGCTTCACGCGAGGGCTCTGGTTCTGTGTCAAGCTTCACAAAGGAGGGGGGTGTGGGGGCAGAGGTGGGTGGTGGGTGGGCGGGCAGGCTGCGTTACGTTACTGTTATAGTGGTTGTTTGTTTTGGCGGGGGGCACGGCGAGAAGCATTCACAGACTCGCAGCACCTGCGGGGCCCGCGCGTGGCGATTACGCGAGATGAGCCCCGGCTCCGTGATGCCGTCCGACCGGTCACGCCGCACCTGCTGCTGCTGTAGGCACACCTGCTGCTGCTGCGACGGAGGGCGGCGCGCCGGCCAGCTGCTGTTGCTGCTGCTGTTGCTGCTGTAGGCACAGCTGCTGCTGTTGCTGCTGTAGGCATAGCTGCTGCTGCAGCAGCAGCAGCAGCTGTGCCTACAGCTCCACCACAGCCTGCCCTATAGCTATTCACTACCTACAGCTCCACCACAGCCTGCCCTATAGCTATTCACTTCCTACAGCTCCACCACAGCCTGCCCTATAGCTATTCACTACCTACAGCTCCACCACAGCCTGCCCTATAGCTATTCACTTCCTACAGCTCCACCACAGCCTGCCCTATAGCTATTCACTACCTACAGCTCCACCACAGCCTGCCCTATAGCTATTCACTTCCTACAGCTCCACCACAGCCTGCCCTATAGCTATTCACTACCTACAGCTCCACCACAGCCTGCCCTATAGCTATTCACTACCTACAGCTCCACCACAGCCTGCCCTATAGCTATTCACTTCCTACAGCTCCACCACAGCCTGCCCTATAGCTATTCACTTCCTACAGCTCCACCACAGCCTGCCCTATAGCTATTCACTTCCTACAGCTTTACCACAGCCTGCCCTATAGCTATTCACTACCTACAGCTCCACCACAGCCTGCCCTAAAGCTATTCACTTCCTACAGCTCCACCACAGCCTGCCCTATAGCTATTCACTTCCTACAGCTCCACCACAGCCTGCCCTATAGCTATTCACTTCCTACAGCTCCACCACAGCCTGCCCTATAGCTATTCACTACCTGCAGCTCCACCACAACCTGCCCTATAGCTATTCACTACCTACAGCTCCACCACAGCCTGCCCTATAGCTATTCACTTCCTACAGCTCCACCACAGCCTGCCCTATAGCTATTCACTTCCTACAGCTCCACCACAGCCTGCCCTATAGCTATTCACTACCTGCAGCTCCACCACAACCTGCCCTATAGCTATTCACTACCTACAGCTCCACTACGAATGACTGACTTTGTCATCAGCAATCTAAGACGGTTCCTTTCTGGGTTTGTTTCTATTGATGCCTATGCATTTATTATTTATTTATCCAATTCACGATTCCGTAAAACTGTTCGCGTCGCCGTTATTAACTTTGGCTGAAAACTTTCGGGGAATGGTCTCGTTCCGGCTGCTCGTGCACTCTCGTTGTCGCTGTTCTAGTTTGTGAATCTCTGCACGTGTTCTTCAGGTCTCGCTTTGCGAGGGTGTGGAACACTTGCAGCAGTATCCACCGAAGCAATTGGCGTTTCACACGACGGGATATGCCGGTTCGTACACGTGGTACGGACGTTGCAGTATTGTGATCACGCAAGTGCCTGGCATGCGCTCAGTGGCGAGTGATATCCGGACTCTTCCTGCGCCTCCACTTCGCGAGTGTAGTGACCAGCGTGGTGAAGTATGGCCATGGCCGACTCAACATGGGGAGGACTTTCTAAAGTAGCGTATCAACAAAGGGCTGTACATTTTCACATTATTGCGTCATATACAACAAATTGAGATTCTTAGTCTCGGCACAACAATATGGAGTGGCGTCAAAGCTGTACCCAACCAGTTCTAGACGAACCATCGACCCCGGCTGACGAGAAGAATTTCGCACCGAACTCGACTTGGCCGACTCCAAGGAATGATCACGAACACGCCGTCAGCTGCCGTGATCCACCTTCACCTGCCCTGCCGCACGCGCCGCGAGCGATGGAGGCGGTGGGGGGCGGTGGGGGGCGGCGGCGGGGGGGGGGCGCCACGCGCGGCGCGTGCGCCGGGAGTCATTGGGCGCGCGCGCGCGTGCGCGTTGTAAACAGGCGCGTGCGCGTGCGCGTGCGTGCGCGCACCCCCCACTGCTGAGCGTGCTTGTAGTGAGCCAGGTGAAGAATGTCCAAGCCGGTGTTTGTTTTGCCGGATCAATCTCTGCCCTGCACCTGCGGGAGAGAAACTCCTCCTGCGTGTCAACAAGCGTGGCCACGACACGCACCCCCGTCATCATCCTCCATTATCGAGGGGGGGGGGGGTTGGGGGGTTAGATCTCGTAACTATAAATGCGTCGTTAAACCCGCCACCACCCGGCACAGCCATTTACTAAGGTTTGTCACGTAATCAGAACGTGCCAATTCGTTACACGTACAGCACACCGGTGTGTTGGAGAGCAAATCCACAACGGATAGCCAGATGTGTCCGCCTGATGAAGCTAGTTGTAATTACTGGCGAAACGTCGTACTCAGATTGTAAATGTTGTGATATCCTCTCCAACACACCGGTGTGATGTACTCGTAGCGAATTGGCATGTTCAGTTTACGTGACAACCCTTACTAATTAGCTGTGTCGGGTGGTGGCGGGTTTAACGACACATTTATATTTACGAGATCTAACCCAAAACAAACTATATTATGAATTATATTGGTCGCGAAAGGCTAAGTGTTAAAATCACCATCCTCGTTCACAAAAGTCAAAGACCTCGTTGGTAAGAGGTGCAATATTCCGTTCTCTGCAGTGTTACTATTTCGTTTTGGTTGCTGCTGTGTTCACGCACCACGGCTCTCCCGTGTAAAGCAGCCGGGTAACTGACTCAACGAGACCATCCGTGCAACAAATAAAACAAACTCAAACTCAACCCAAACGATGTTGACTTGAAGCTTTCGTGACTGCAGGAATCAATTCTCTTTGGTTCTTTCGGGAAAGTCACGTAGGTAGAAAAAACAATAGATCACGACGTTTCGATCGCACCTGAAGACGGTCGCTTGTTGTTGCGATCGAAACGTCGTGATCTATTATTTTTTCTACCTGCGCGACTTTACCGTAAGAACCGGAGAGTATCAGCCCAGACGCTTCGTCATTCATGGCGGCGGCGGTGGCTACCTCCATGACCTGTGATCCAGTCCTGTGGAGGAAGCGATGGGATTCGTGTTTGTGTCCCAACTGCACGGGAGTGGAGGCTGCCAATCCACGTCAGAACGGATTGATGGTTCTTCAGTACGGAGTGAGATGCTCCCTGCTCATTGAGGACCGAGCCAAGCGTAGCCGAGTCGTGGATCGTATTGTCAAGTGTAGAGGGAATTGTAAACATCTAAAGACCGCAACATCGAACACGGTTCGTTTTTCACCGGCGTGCTCACAACCACGGTATTTGGGCACTTGCTTGAACCAAATTAGACGAATCACTGACGCAGCATGTGGAGTCGTGTAGACTGACGCGATTAATGATGTTTGTGGCTCAACTGATCAGATGAGCATTTGTCACTATACGCACGACAACATCAAATACCAACAACGCTCTGGTCGATTTCCATGAGACGCATAAGCCACACGATCAACTGGAGCCATAAAACGCAGTGACATTTGATCCGGTCGTGTTTACACGGGGGGACCCTGCACCTGCGTGGACAGACCGCTCACTGCAATTACCTTGCCACGGTTTGATCACCGCCTGCGCTTCACACATCAATTCCCTCGTGCACGGATGTACAAGTGGCCCAGCTGAAATTGTGGCCGCCAAGCGCATGTTTCGAGTCTCAGTGGAACTGGGGGGAGGTGTTCAACGGTGGCGAGCCTGTCCCGAGGCCTGCCGCAACGAGGCTGTGCTGGGGCTGGACTAAAACAGCACGCGTGGTCACGTGTCCCCACTGCCGAAGTTGACACAATGCGTCATCACCGGGTGGATGTATGACAGGTTACAGACACCGGACACCTTGACTATTATTATTATTATTGGAAAGGAGTGTTGTGGCACACCGAGAAGAGACCCCATTTATGCGTTTGGGGCACGTGCTGCTATTGAGCACCCAGGAAGGAGGCCATAAAGAAACTGGGATCAACTACAGGAGGCCAAGGCAGCTTCACATCCCACTGGTCGCTGCTACTGTCCTGGCTCACAAGGACCACACACCACAGACACACACTTACACACTACATACCACACACCACACACACTATACACATACACACCCCCTACACATACGCTACACACAAACTCCGCACAGCCTACGTACACACACACGAATCCCATACATACGAGTAAAGCCACATAAATGTTTGTTTATTCATTTATTTATTCATAATTTAAATAGGCATTTAAACATCTAACACGTGCAGCTATAAAAGAAATATTTTAAAAACAGTTTCTTTTCAAAAATAGTCAAAAATAAATAACTTACATTTACATTTGTAATTTTTTATTTGTTTTTATAAAGCTTCAGTACTTTGCATTTACATAAATATTACAAATAAATATACATATATATTACAATTATTTTATTAAACTGACAAAATAGTTATACCCAAATATCCAATCGTCTTTAAGACATTTGTCTCTGCATTAATGACAGATCTCACAATTACATCGTCATCATCGATATCATCATCATCAATGTCATCATCATCAATGTCATCATCGTTGCTCGCTCATGGAGTAGCGGGTTGGCGTTTTTGTCTTCATCTTCGCGTGGTTTGTACAAACAAAACAACTCGGCAGGGCCAAGTCACATTGAGCAAAGGCGCAGGCCGGCAAGTGCCGTGAGCACTTCTCGCGTGAAAGTTTGGTGTCGGGTGAACAGCGGTGATGGGCAGCGTCTCCTGGCTTTGAGAGTAGTGATCCAGAGAAGCTGCAGTCTCTTCACGATAGTGCAAATGCACCAGGGGAACTGCCCACTCGTTCTGTATAAATATTTATTCAATTCCATAGTTAGAGAGGCGCGGGTGTGTGTGTGTGTTGGGGGAGCCATGCTTTCGTGTACAGCGCGCGCCGCGGCCGCGTCTGCGTTGGCACCGCGATGAGCTCATCCCGCATCGCGCGCCGCTCTGCGGCGTCACACGGAGGCAGGCGTCGCCCGGTCTCTTCGTCTTCTTCACACCTGCAACAGACACAACGAGCGCGTTAAGTCCACCTGCCCGCGACAATGATGGTGGCTCGACGCGGCGGCGCATTGTGGGCAGGTGATGGTGCAGTGGGGGCCGTGACCGCGGTCTCACCTCCGTCGCGATGATGCACTCGTTCTGCGTGATCGAGCTGATGTACACGGACGTGTGGTTCGGCGCTGACGAGGAGGAGGAGGAAGACGCCTCGGTGCAGCCCGACTCGAAGCTCGCCCGCTTGCTCTTCCCCGCCGCCTGGCTCTCCGCCGCCTCGGCCTGGCGGCTCGCGGCTTCCGAGACGCTGCTCTTGTAGTCGATGCCCTGGTATTTGATTTTGTAGTTTGATTTCCTGGCGCCGCAGTCTCCCTCGGCGCCCAGCTGCTTGTTGGTGTTCTTCAGCTCTGACGTGACGATCACGTTGATGGCCAGCTCCTTCTCCTTCTGGCAGTCGCTCAGGTTGTTCATGGTCTCCGTGTCCGGGGCGCGAGTCGTCGAAGAGATGCGAAGGCGCAGCTGTCGGAGCAGGAACGTGAGGACGGCGGCGATGAGCAGCAGGAAGACGAGCGCCAGCGCGGCGCACAGCACGAACACGGAGCCCGAGTCGGCCTCCTGCCTCTCGGCGTCGGGCATCTCGACGGCGAGCGGCGGCGACATGAGGCTCTCCTCGCACCGCGAGCCCAGGAAGCCCAGGGGACACTCGCAGGCCGCGCCTCCGCCTTGCTTGGGCAGGCACGTGCCCCCGTTGAAGCAGGGCGTGAGCGCGCACGGGCTCACGGCCACGGCGCACTCCCTGCCCGTGAAGCCCGGTGCGCAGCTGCACGCGAAGCTGTTGACGCGGTCGTGGCAGGTGCCGCCGTTGAGGCACGGCAGGCGCGCGCAGTCGTCCACGTTGCGCTCGCACCGGGAGCCCGCGAAGCCCGCGCGGCAGCGGCACAGGTACGAGCTGCCGCTCTCCTCGCACTGCCCACCTGCGGGGGCGAGGGCACGCCCGGTTGGTTAGTCGCCGCGCCAGAGCGACCCTTCGCGGTCACGATCATGCCCGTCGCGGCAGCAGTCACGGCGCGGTGCGCTCACCGCTGCGCCACCGCTCCGCCCTCAACAGGGGCGATTCGTCGATCAAGCGCGACGCTGCGCGACGCGGTGTGCGGGGTGCGTGGGGAGGGGGGAGGCGGAGGCGGTGCTCACCGTTCGCGCAGGGGTTGTTGCTGCACTGGTCCACTTTCTTCTCGCAGTTGAAGCCCGTGTAGCCGGCGGGACACGTGCACGAGTAGCCGCCCTGGGGGCGGTCGCGGCAGCTGCCCGCGTTGAAGCAGGGGGCGTCCGCGCACGTCATGGCGCTCAGGTCGCAGTTCTTGCCGTAGAAGCCCGGCGGGCACGAACAGGTGTAGTCGTTCTCCAGGTCCTGCACAGCAGAGGGGAGCCAGGGGGGTGTAGCGGCCCGCTCGCGGCAAAGGAGACAACGAGTAGCGGCCGTGGTGCGTGAGGCTCGCGTGGCGAGCGCGGTGGCAACTTACCAGGCAGCTGCCCCCGTTGCGGCACGGGTTCCCCTCGCACTCGTTGGTATCGAGCTCGCAGTTGGTGCCAGTGAAGCCCGGCTTGCACGTGCAGCTGTAGCTGCCCTGGCCCACGTTGGTGCACGAGGCGCCGTTCTGGCACGGCTTGTGGTGCGTGCAGTAGTTGAGATCTGCAGAGCGGTCACAGGGAAGAGCGCCGTGGTCACGCACATGCGAACTGTGGCGTGGCACGCGCGCACTGCTTGTGCTCGGGCAGGGAATCGTCGCTCAACGGGGATGACGGCCGGTGGTGATGGTTGAGAGAAACGACGGAGTGACAGCCATAGCAGGGAACACGGCCCAGAGGACGTGCGACGCAGGAGATGGAGTGAACAAATCAGCGCGTGTGCAGGGACGAGGTGGATTGTTGCGTCGCCTGGCTGTGCGAGATGGCGATGATTTGGGTGAGAACTTAAATGAAGTGGTGGATAGCTCGTGGCTGCTGCTGATGATGATGACGATGATGGAGCAGCTGTGGCGCGGCATGGTCACCTTGGTTGCAGAAGAGGCCGCCCCATCCTTCCTTGCAGGTGCACTGCCACGGCTGCTGGCAGGTGCCGTGCACGCAGCCCGGGTAGCGGATGCACTCCTCGCAGTGGCGGCCCTGCCAGCCCACGCGACACCTGGGAGAGGCGACACACGGAGCAGGACCGTCAGTCTCAAGCGCTCCTCGCCCATCACGAAGACTCAAAAGTAAAGAAGGTCGCGATCAAGCGAGTCTCGAGCGACGAAGAATCCGCGAGTGTTTTGCGATGTCACACACTCACTTGCACTCTCCGGGCCTGTCGCAGTATCCGTGGGAGTCGCTGCATCCCGGCAGGCACACAGCTGGAACGAGAGAGGGAGGGAGACGTGGGTGAGTGAGCGAACGAGCGGGCAGGGAGGGAGGGAGGCGTGCGTGAGTGGGGAGGGAGGGAGGGAGCGAGGGAGGGAGGGAGGAGTGAGTGGGGAGCGCCATCGGGGCTCGCGTCGTCGCCACCGCCTCACAAAGCGAGGGGCATCTGCGAGACGAGTCCAGGGCCGAGAGCGAAACAGCTGCCGCGCCCCCCCCCCCCCCCATTGTGTGGCGGTCGCTGTGACAGAGCCGCGGCTCGGAGCGCGGCGGCCAATCCGCGGCGCGTCCCGGCCACGCGCCGCGCTCTGATTACAGAGCCCCCATCGCTCGGAGCCATTATCACGCGCGCGGCGCTGCCCACTTTACGGCGCGTAATTAAACTGCGTGCGAGAGGAGGACAGAGGGAGGGGTGGGGGTTGTATGGGGTGGTGGGTGGGGGGTGGTGGTGGTGGTGGTTACCTTCTGAGCAGTAGGGTCCTCGCCAGCCCGGCATGCAGAGCTTCTGCCCGGCCTCGTCGCACGAGAAGTGACCGAAGGTGTCGTCCCTGGCGCGGCAGTAGGTGGAGCAGCCCTCGCCGTAGTAGTGCTCGGCGCACACGACGCGGTACGAGTAGCGCAGCTCGCTGTGCCGGCTCACGTGCGTGTCCTGGGACCAGTCCTCCCCCACGCTCAGGTGCCGCTGCGTGGCCAGGCGGCTGATGAGGCGCTCCGGGTGCTCTGCGGGGTCACAACACGCGGGGGTTTTGTCACCGCTCTGGGAAATCGATGGATCGATCGCACGTGGCGGTGCAGCAGTGGATCGGTGCAGCGAGTAATGTGCGCGGCCCGCGACGAGACGCAAACCCCCAGACTCACCAGTGGACATATCGGACGCCTCCGCGTGCCAGGCCTCGATGATCAGCGAGAAGGTTCCCTGTAACGGGAGCGGTGATGGGAGGGATCACGGTGAGACGCGGCGCACATCAGACCACCCCCAGAGTCACCGCACGCGGTGCCATGCCCGCCCGTGCTCGAGAACACGCGAGAATATTTGGTGAGGGGAAACTGCGCGGACGGGGAGTCTGCTGCTTACCGGCCACGTGAAGCTGAAGGGAAAGGCGATCGGGTTGGCGAAGCCGCGCACGTCGTGGACGCGAAACGAGTTGGATCCCAGCACCGGGGTGAGGACGCTGCCGAAGGTGCACGGCGAGTCGGGCGTGATATGCGTCTGGTAGTGCTTGAGGCACACTCGGAAGAAGGTCCGGCACTCGCAGAACGAGGACGGCGCAGAGCCAGCCTTGCAGCAGGCGCCGCTGGCGCGGAACGCGTTGCTGTTGATGATTTCTTGCAGTTTGAGTTCGAAAATCCCAGCGGAGAGTGCCTGTGAATCACAGCGCGCGTTAGTTCCAGGGGACGCGCAGAAACGCAGCGCCGTGTCCTGGCGCGTTCCGCCACCGGTCCCGAGTGACAGGGATGCGTCCGCTGTGCTCCTGCGCGCGCGATGTGTAACGCGGCATCCAGTGATCTTGTCTAACCCTCACAGTTTCGTGCATGAGCGTCTTGATTCTCTGTTTCTCATTGCCTTCCCAACTTGTGTCCGCGTTTTTAGCCAACGTTTTAACAACTTATTCTAAAATGTATTTTAGACGTGACAAAAAACATGAACTGAATCTCAAACGCACGTGTTCTACTTTAACGCCAGAGGAAGAGAGGAACTTACCAGCTGCGCCAGGCAGAGAGAGACGACCAACGTGAGGAGGAGGTGCGAGAGTGCCATCCTTAGATCCAGCGTCTCTTTTCCCAGGAAAAGTCGCAGTGTGGTATTTACATCAGTGCTGCGTCCTACTGATGTTCCTGTCCAGTGTTTAAAAATCGGGTGTTCTGTAAAAAGAAAACTGTTTTGATGCGACGATGGTTAAGCTAGCTCATGCGTTTCACTCAAGAGCTGTCTTCACTCGGAACGTGCGAAGCAATGTCCCAGTAGGATCCTGGAGGAGCTAGGCCGAGCGAGCGTCAGGGTCTCTGTGGTTCTGAGCACTCACCTCGCGCCCGCTTTATATGCGAGGGCCCCGAGGCCGCGAGCCAATGCAGCGTGGGCTGGTGGGCGGCGTGAGCAGCCAGGGCCCGCCTGCTCCCAACTGCCTTTCCGGGCCGTATTCACAAATGTGAATACATTAACTTGTAGTAATGACAGATGCTTGCGCTGCACAACAGATGGGAGGGGGGGGGGGGTGCGCGGGGGGGAGGGCTGGAAGGAGTGCGTGAGCTCTGGAAAGGAATGATTTTTGTTGTGTTCAGGCTTCCCAGATGAACACGCTCGCTGCCGTTACATCTGCGCAGCGCGATGAGTTTTCTCGCCTCTTCGTTCCAGAGCAGAAATCGGGTTCTGTTCCGAGGGCGCCAGGTGGACCGTGCTGTCCTCTGCCATTCCTACACTCGGTCATTGTGGAACAGCGAGTGGCCTGCGACGCAATGCGAAAGCCTATTACGCGTAAAGTTACTGCAACTAATACCGGTGCACTGCCGAGGCCTGTGCAGTTATTTTACGCACACGGACAAGCGGCAACTCGACATACATGCGTGCAACAAGTTGCTACAACAACAGAAGTGTGAATCCCAGTGCAGTCCCCCAGTTAGCGTGCTCCGAGAGCGCGTGCCCCCCGTGCCCATCGTGCCCACCCTGCCCACCCTGCCCCCCGTGCCCACCCTGCCCACCGTGCCCATCCTGCCCACCGTGCCACCCTGCCCACCCTACCCACCGTGCCCACCCTGCCCACCGTGCCCACCCTGCCCACCCTGCCCACCCTGCCCACCCTGCCCCCCGTGCCCACCCTGCCCACCGTGCCCACCCTGCCCACCGTGCCCATCCTGCCCACCGTGCCACCCTGCCCACCCTACCCACCGTGCCCACCCTGCCCCCCGTGCCCACCCTGCCCCCCGTGCCCACCGTGCCCACCCTGCCCACCCTGCCCACCGTGCCCACCCTGCCCCCCGTGCCCACCCTGCCCACCGTGCCCACCCTGCCCCCCGTGCCCACCCTGCCCACCCTGCCCCCCGTGCCCACCCTGCCCACCCTGCCCACCGTGCCCACCCTGCCCCCCGTGCCCACCCTGCCCACCGTGCCCACCCTGCCCCCCGTGCCCACCCTGCCCACCCTGCCCCCCGTGCCTACCCTGCCCCCCGTGCCCACCCTGCCCACCCTGCCCACCCTGCCCCCCGTGCCCACCCTGCCCACCCTGCCCACCGTGCCCACCCTGCCCCCCGTGCCCACCCTGCCCCCGTGCCCACCCTGCCCACCGTGCCCACCCTGTCCACCCTGCCCACCGTGCCCACCCTGCCCACCGTGCCCACCCTGCCCACCGTGCCCACCGTGCCCACCCTGCCCACCGTGCCCATCCTGCCCACCGTGCCCACCCTGCCCACCCTGCCCACCCTGCCCACCCTGCCCCCGTGCCCACCCTGCCCACCGTGCCCACCCTGTCCACCCTGCCCACCGTGCCCACCCTGCCCACCGTGCCCACCCTGCCCACCGTGCCCACCCTGCCCACCGTGCCCATCCTGCCCACCGTGCCTACCCTGCCCACCCTGCCCACCGTGCCCACTCTGCCCACCCTGCCCACCGTGCCCACCCTGCCCACCCTACCCACCGTGCCCACCCTGCCCACCGTGCCCACCCTGCCCACCCTGCCCACCGTGCCCATCCTGCCCACCGTGCCTACCCTGCCCACCCTGCCCACCGTGCCCACTCTGCCCACCCTGCCCACCGTGCCCACCCTGCCCACCCTACCCACCGTGCCCACCCTGCCCACCGTGCCCACCCTGCCCACCCTACCCACCGTGCCCATCCTGCCCACCGTGCCCACCGTGCCCACCCTGCCCACCCTGCCCACCGTGCCCATCCTGCCCACCGTGCCCACCGTGCCCACCCTGCCCACCCTGCCCACCGTGCCCACCCTGCCCACCCTGCCCACCGTGCCCATCCTGCCCACCGTGCCCACCCTGCCCACCCTACCCACCGTGCCCACCCTGCCCACCCTGCCCACCGTGCCCATCCTGCCCACCGTGCCCACCGTGCCCACCCTGCCCACCCTGCCCACCCTGCCCACCGTGCCCACCCTGCCCATCCTGCCCACCGTGCCCACCCTGCCCACCGTGCCCACCCTGCCCACCCTGCCCACCTGCCCCGTGCCCACCCTGCCCATCCTGCCCACCGTGCCCACCCTGCCCACCCTGCCCACCCTGCCCACCCTGCCCACCGTGCCCACCCTGCCCACCCTACCCACCGTGCCCACCCTGCCCACCCTGCCCACCCTGCCCATCCTGCCCACCGTGCCCATCCTGCCCACCGTGCCCACCCTGCCCACCCTGCCCACCCTGCCCATCCTGCCCACCGTGCCCACCCTGCCCACCGTGCCCACCCTGCCCACCGTGCCCACCCTGCCCATCCTGCCCACCGTGCCCACCCTGCCCATCCTGCCCACCGTGCCCACCCTGCCCACCCTGCCCACCGTGCCCACCCTGCCCATCCTGCCCACCGTGCCCACCGTGCCCACCGTGCCCACCCTGCCCACCCTACCCACCGTGCCCACCCTGCCCACCCTGCCCATCCTGCCCACCGTGCCCACCCTGCCCACCGTGCCCACCCTGCCCACCCTGCCCACCCTGCCCATCCTGCCCACCGTGCCACCCTGCCCACCCTACCCACCCTGCCCACTCTGCCCATCCTGCCCACCGTGCCCACCATGCCCACCCTGCCCACCCTGCCCACCGTGCCCACCCTGCCCACCCTGCCCACCGTGCCCACCCTGCCCACCGTGCCCACGGTGCCCACCCTGCCCACCCTGCCCACCGCTCCGTGATTGTTCACTGCGCGCATCCCGCACGGAGCTCTTGAGGGATCCGCAGCGCGCACGGTTCGGATTGTGTGACCCGCACCAAAGGTGCCGCGCACGGGCATCCAACCCCGCTCCGCTCTATCCCGAGCCGAGCTGCGCCGCTGTTTCATGAGACTCGGACATCGCAGGCGATCTGCGTCGGTGAGTTGGTACAGTGCAATACAACATCAAGGCAGTGCAAGGTGATTGAAATATGTATATGCGTTGTTTTATCCATTTCTCCGGGATTTAAATAGTTGCAATTGTTTAAGTTAACCCAAGAATGAGAAACAGACGTTTACAATCAACACAAAGGAGAGAATGCCTGTATACATTATCCTGACGTTGCCCAGCTTTTCCGATTTCTGCAGCAAAGCGTGTCAGTGTGCACAAAGGCGCTGCTCTGTCAAGGGACAACCCCCTCGGCTTTGTATCCTAATTCGTGCGCCCAGTTTTGTGTTCCTGTAATCGGGCAGAAAGCCTCTGCGAAACTCCTGCGCGTGAGATTTCTTCCCCGTTTGGGGTTCCTCGGCCGATGGCGGTGGTGGCCGCTCGCGCCCCAGGTAGGTGCCGTGTCCACACCTGAGCCGCGTGCCACCTCGGGAGGGGGGGGGGGTGCGGGCCCGGGTGAGGTGCGCGCAGCGCGGGCGTGTGGAGCGCGATTCGTCTCGGCCTCCCAATGGAGCGCTCCTCCCCAGACGCGCTCCTTTATTCCGCGGCCATCTGTTCCCCCACGGCGCCCGTGATTTGCATGGCAGGCGACTTCACCCGGTGGGTTGAACACTCCAGCACAGGGACTCGCCACCCCCCACCCTACCCCACACACGCACGCACACAATAAGCATGAGCCGATGTGTTTGATAAGGATACGCCCCGCCCCGCCCCGGTGCGGTGGTGGTGGCGGTGGTTGTGGCAGAAGCGCCGAGTAAAAGTGAAAAATAAGAAACGATTCATCTCGGGCCGCGTCAACAAACGCGCCATCAGCGGCCGAGTTCGCGCACGCGGCTCCCCTGCGCGCAGAGCAGCGGGCAGAGTCGCTCGCAACAGGTGGGGAGCGACCCGGGACGACGGCACGACGGACACTCGCCACGCTGGGCGTGTGCTGACCACCCAGGCAATGGTGCGCTGCTTACGATGAGACCGCCTCGAGGTTCCACTCGGGCCGCGTGCCGCGGCGAGCCAAGCCGGGCCGTGGCCCCAGCGTGGCGGGCACGGCCTTCGCGTAGCTGCACGCTCGTCTGGGCCTGCGGATTGACGAGCTACTCCCATCCCATCGTGATGCGTGTTCCATGTTGATGACGTCAGCGCGCCTTCACTCGGTCGATGAGGTTAATTGGGATGCTGCTGACTCGGTCGCCATCCACCGTTTCATTGCAAATGGAACTTTGATCCGAGGGAGGTGCAAACACCGAAACCAAACATTGGACCAGGCGTGCTCTCATCGCGCTGCGGTGACGTCACCGCATTGTTGATGTTCTCAGGCGCAGCTCGTGACTGCTGCATGGGCCAGGCCTCCCCCATCCTCTTCCATTCCTCTCCTTGTCGCCTCCTGCCCAGTAGTGGCCTCTGGCACTCTGTGCTTGCTGATTGCCGTCTCCACTGCGTTGTGATGTTGTCCGTGCCTCCTCGGTTGTTCTCACCACGTGGCCTGCATCGACGTCACATTCAATCGCATGACGTCACAATGACGTCTCTACAGTGGGTAGCACATTACCAGCGTCGTTGTGTCGCTAACAGAATCGATAACGCCTCCTCCCCATACTTCTCGTTCCACATACACGATACGTATTTTTCACGATGCATCCACCGCAGATCCTTCTGGAAGTGCATCTTATCAGCTCCATTGGTTCAATACAATAACAATCTGGGCCGGTTTCGACGTTTGATGTCTCATCAGCAGAGAAAGGCTTTCTTGAACCAATGCTGGTGAACAGCCTGGCGTGTATAGGCAGTGCAGGGACGCGCCTGTGCGTGACTTCCACGTCTTTTAGTTGTCTCACGACCAACGCTGCCGGATCGTGTGGCGCGACCCCGGCGCGACTCGCTGCCTGGGAGGGCCGCTGCGAGGCGCCTCTTGAAGCGACGCAGCCCGAGCTGGTGGGTCCGTGACCGTTTGTCGCAGTGAGTCGGTGCCATTGTCCC